AGCTTTAGAGCTTCCTGACGAGGACCACGAGGATATTGACAAGTTATGGATAGAGATCAGGGATAATATTAAAGCGGTCGGTAACTCGTGTCTAGGAAAAAAGGAAAATAAGAATAACAAACCGTGGTTTGATGAAGATTGCTTAAACATGTGTGAAAAAAGAAAAGCCGTTAAATTAAAAGCTCTAAATAATCCTAGCGAAGACAATCTGGAATACTTCCGAATCTCAAAGAACGAAACGACAAAATTGCTCAAAAATAAAAAAAGGGAGTATCTTAAAAATAAAATAATTGAAATAGAAATTAATACAATCGAAAATAACGTAAGAGACATGTACAAAGGTATAAACAGATCACGTAAATATGTAGGGCCCGTAACCTCTGGAATTAGGGATGATAATAACAATATTCTGACCGATCCGGTTGACATATTGAATACGTTTAAGGACCACTTTGACAATATTTTAAATACGGGAAATTATGATCTGTGTCCTCCTTCTGAGTACTAGAGTGCTGAACCGTTAATAGAAGGACCAAGTAAAGAGGAAGTTGAAGTAGCTATCGGAAAATTAAAATCATATAAAGCAGCGGGAATCGATAATATTCCTAATGAACTGATTTAGGCATACGGGGAAGCTGGAGTTTCTAAAATACATCGGTTGGTTAAAAAGATCTGGGTGAACGAGAAATTACCTGAAGAATGGAAAGAATCTATTCTTATTCCGATTCACAAAAAGGGTCTGAGGACGGATTGTAATAACTATCGAGGAATTTCACTCCTTCCGGTAAGTTATAAAATATTCACTTCAATCTTAACCAGTCGAATCACGGAATACGCCGAGGAAATTATCGGAGACTACCAATGTGGATTTAGACGGAATCGTTCGACTATTGATCAAATATTTTCTTTACGGCAAATATTAGAGAAAAAATTGGAGTATAACGGTATTGTTCACCAGCTGTATATAGATTTTAAAAAGGCTTACGATTCTATTGACCGCCAGAAACTGTATAATATTCTAATCGAGCAGGGGATTCCAAAAAAACTAGTAAATCTAGTCAGGATGTGCTTGACGGAGACACTCAACAAAATTAGAATCGGTAATAATTTGTCCGAAAAATTTGAGGTTCGTTCGGGCTTAAAACAGGGGGATTCTCTTTCGCCTGTCCTGTTCAATTTGGCATTAGAACATGCCATTAGGGAGGTAATGCGAACCGAGAAAGGGTTGGATCTGTGCGGGACAACATCCGTGCTGGGCTATGCTGATGATCTGGTACTGTCAAGCGAAGACGTTGAAATTATAAAACTAAATACGACAACGTTAATGAAAGCCGGTAAAGAACTAGGACTCGAAATAAACGTGGATAAAACAAAATATATGGTTAGCTGCAAAAATGGCGATACTACTGGTGATATCGATATAGATGGTAATATGTTGGAACAGGTAGATAAATTTAGGTATCTAGGTTCTACGATAACTAGAAAAAACGAAATTGAAGAAGAGATTAAGGTTAGACTGAAGGCGGGGATTGCTTGTCATTTTTCTGTGACAAAACTACTTAGTTCGCGCCTCTTGTCCCGAAACTTATAAATTAGAATCTATGAAACAATTATCTTGCCTACAGTTCTTTATGGATGCGAAACTTGGCCGCTTACATTAAGGGATGAGCAGCGTCTTAAGGTTTTTGAAAATAAAGTATTGCGTAGAATATTCGGACCGAAGAAGGATGAGTTAACCGGAGAGTTCAGACGGTTACACAACGCCGAATTGCGTGAGCTGTATCCGGGTAATATAATTGAGATAATTTCATCGCGGCGAATCAAATGGGCTTATAAAGTTGTTGGGCTTAGTAACGAGGGAATTCCTAAAAGGTTAATATTTGCTGTGCCGAATGGTAAGCATTCGAGGGGTAGACCGAAGCGAAGGTGGGAAGATTGCATAAAAGCCGATCTGAAGGGACTGGGTTTGGACGGCGAACGGTGGAGGGAGGTGTGTAACAAGCGGTTGGTGGTGTCGGCATCGAACCTTCGGGTTCGCTAAGCCTTATTATTATTATTATTAATGTCGATTTCTAAATTATAAAATTTCTAAAACGATAAAATTATATCATATATCACGTAGCCGGGCAACGGCAGTTCTAAGCTTACGTGTTAGCCTTAAAACTTTATTTTAAAAAATAAAAAAAAATACCAAAATACCAATCTCGAATTTTTTTTATTTTGTGCTTGTCCTCTTCCAAATGTTTTTCGGTGCAACCCAGTGACCAATATATCGGACTTTTGACTTTATTTTATTCTAATTCATAGAGTTTCACGTGGACTATTATTTACACTGGTAATAAATGAGCCAATCAATCGCCATGAAATAGATATCAACATAAATTTGAGAATAGACCGATATATCCGCACTGAAATTGAATGTAATCGAGATTAATAGTTTGGTAATTAATTGCTTTAGATAATTTTCCGTACCTTTATAATATTTCTATAACTTTTACTTTCACTTCCCTTTACCTGAATATACTTATTTCTGCTAAGGGTAAGTAAAAGTTGGTAGGTATGTAAGAATGATAAGTGAAAGTTGTGTAGTGCGCGCACCACACTATATTTGTTTCTTTATAAGCACACATTTAGTAGCTGTATTTGTGTTATAATATAAGAAGGGTACTGAATGTAATAGTCTCAATCTCAAATCCGACATCATTTTCATAAAAAGCGCCCACCAAAACATAATAGTCGACCCTGATATCGATTTAATCTAAAAAGTTAAAAAAAAGTCGAGGCCCGGGGGGCGCAATCTCAAATTCGATATAATTTTCTTAAAAAGCGTCCCCCAAAACATAAGAGTCGACCCTGATATCGATTTACTTCGAAAAGTTAAAAAAAGTTGAGGCCCGGGGGACCAATCTCAAATTCGATATCATTTTCATAAAAAACGCCCCCCAAAACATAATTGTCGACCCTGATATCGGTTTAATCCGAAAAGTTACAAAAAGACGAGGCCCGGGGGGGTCAATCTCAAAAGCGACAGCATTTTCATAAAAAGCGCTCCCCCCCAAAACATATAATTCGACCCTGATATCGATTTAAACCGAAAAGTTACAGAATATCGAGGCCCGGGGGGCCCAATCTCAAAAGCGACATTATTTTCATAAAAAGCGACCCCCAAAACTTAATAGTCGACCCTGATATGGATTAAATCCGAAAGGTGACAAAAAATTATTAGATTATATAAAATAATAACTTTTTTTTTTAATTACTCATGGCGTTAAAATTTTTTACGAGTGATTTACTCATGGAGATAACATTTTTCACGAGTGATTTACTCATGGAGGAAAAATGTTTCATGAGTAATTTTCAAATTTACTCATGGGGAAGCTTCTAAGAGTGATCACTCGTGACGTCACCGCTGGACATTTACTCGAGTAATTGCCCAACACTGGCTCGCAGAAGAAAATATAGACCAATAAAAATATTTTTCCATTTTGGGAGGGTAAGTTTCAGCACGAAACCGATTTCAACGAAAATGTTGCTCTAACATATCTGGTACATATTTATTTCATCCAATAAGTTATTTCAGGTTCTTACTTTTAGTTTTTGAGTTAGGCGTTCACATATGGAGACCTATTGGCGAAACTTGGTTACTTGGACATTAAGGACCTCAAAACGTGCATTTACATTAAAAACTTAGATAAGAAAATTATCATAACAGTAATAATTTTCCTTACTATTTATTTCATACACACATAAGTGTAAGTGAAAAATGTATCCCTAACAGAATTATTGTTTCTACTGTACAAACGTGATTAAAGTACTAATTTTCTAGACAAATTTTATTTTAACAGATCTTCCAGGATCCCTTCATAAAAGATGAAGTTAAACATCATTTTAGAGTACTTACCATTATAAAAATAAAGAAGAAAAGAAAAAGCCTGCACTCTTCAAAATTAAATCCTGAATCTGCTACTGTACAAATGTGATTAAAGTATTAATTTTCTAGACAAAAGTAAATAAATAATGTTAATCTAGTTCACTAACGGATCCAGGATTTAATTTGGGGGGGGGCTTCAGCCCAAAAGATTTTTTTTCATATATATAACGATAATTAATTTGAAAAAAAAAGAAGAGAAAGAAATGAACTACCTATATGAAATGGTGTTTAAGTGATTTTTGAAGTCCTATTTAATGTAATTACACGAACAATAATATTTTAAGAGATAGTTTTTAATATTTTTTTCTATAAAACATGGTTATATTTTACCGTTTTGGGGCAGGGCTTCAGCCCAAAAGCCCTCCCCTCCCCGTAAATCCGCCTGTGAGGAGAGGGAAGCCTAGATTCTGGGCACCCATTGACCATTGGGCCATGGGCTTTCCCCATCTCAGAGCTTTGAGGAATGAACATGGATGGTTAGCCTATGACCTCCTTGAAGTAGAAGGATTTATTTCTTGAGCATGCCTTTAGAATATCTAGCTTAACATTCAATTTTGAAAATGGAAAAAAAAACTTTCTCTATCAGTTTTAGTTTAACATATTATTTCATGAAGAAACTACATAAAATATTAAACTAATAAAATCCTACCCAACATAAAATGTGTACTTGCATCATTTCTCATATATTTCTGTGTTTTTTTTAAATATTTAAATTCTAACTAATATAATAAACATTACTTAATAATGAAATGATTGGTTAAAATAATAATATTACAATTTTTAATAATGAAAAAAACATACAGAATACATTAGTGAATGATGAATGATTACAACAACAGCCAAGGTAATAGAAAATAGAACTTTTTTTTTTGTTTTATAAATGTTTCAAATTGGATTAATATTATCAGGAATAAGAGAAATATTATATTTAAAAAAAATATTGTTAATAACATTAATATATCCTAAATAAACTTAACAACCATTAAATATTTCTAGCTGCAAGGAACTCTATTTTACCAACTACTGAATTCAGAACTGTGGAGTCTTCATTAAAAAAGAAAAAAAGAATCATAAAAACAATTTCATTTTATTTTTACAAAAAAGCAAATTATTATAAAAATGTAAAAAAAATCAAACAAAAACAGAATGCCAAATACATCTTAAACAACCCCAACTTCATGATTATTTGGATAATAAAAATTTAGAAGCCAAATCATCAATAAACGTCGCCAATTTCACATCTCTTGAACTAAGCCCATTTACATCATGAGAGGATAAAGTTATAGAAACTTTGTTATAGACATTAAACCATTCTGGGTGGTGATCCATTTTTTCAGCAGTCAACGCTACACCAGACATGAAACTGAAAGCCTAAAAAAGAAGGATTTATTAAGTAAATAGATCTTTTTACTGAAATTTAAGCAATAAAATAATTCTTACCTCATTAAAATTTTTAAAATTAAAATCTTTCATTATTGCATCACGATTTTCTACCATTTTCCATCCTGTTTTAAAAAGCGGGCCTATCAAATTTTTTCTTTCATCTTCAGACAGTTTTGCACACTAAAATAATTATATTAAAAAAAAAGTGATATTAGGTAAAGACAATACACAAACATTTAGAACAATATATAGAATCTTAAACACAATTATCAAGAAAATAAATAAAATATATAAATACAATGAGAGCGAAGAGAGGTTTCGAAATAGGTAGCGACCGCTATCTACTGAAAATAACAAAAACACAATTAGAAAGGAATCCATAAAATCCTACTGACTAAAAGAAGAAGTGATCGCCACTTATTTCCAAGAAGAGATAGAAAGGAGGCAAGAGATCTGGAGTACTTATGGGATAGTGATGGCATAGAAACAAGCTGAAAATATTTAAAGTCAATGTTGTTAGAAGCTGCTGCTATAGTTTACAGAAAAAGTAAATTAGGAGTTGGAAACAAAAGAACTGCCTGGAGTAATGATGAAATCAAAAGTGTGGAAGGAGAGAAGAAACAATAGTGGAAAAAAATCTAGAAATCCGACCCCAAGAAAAGTATGAACAATATAAAAGGAAGAGATTAGAAGTGAAGTGAAAAGTAATGGATGCAAAAAAGAAAACTTGGGAAGATTTCGACAATAAAATGGAAGCAAATTATAAATGAATTCATAAATTGTTTTATAAGGTCTTTAAAGGGATGAGGAAAGAAAAGGTAAAGGTCCCAATGCTAAAGCACATAAAAGATAAACAGGGAAATATTCTAAGAAAAAGCAATGAAATCATGGAAAGATGAAAAGAATATTTTACGGAATTAATAGTGGAAGGAAGCAGTGACCCCGGAAATGAGCCTGAAGAAGAAGAAATAGAACGAAGATGAGAAGAGGATGACTATATAGAAGAAGAACTAGAAGAAGCAAAATTAGAGATGAAACCAGGGGTCAGCCGGCATTGACGAAATAATACTCGAAATGTTGTGATGTACGGGTCAAAAAGGTCAAGAGGTTATAATGAACTTACTCAAATCAGCGTGGAGACAAGAAAATACTCAAAGAACGGGAAAAAGCAGTCATAGACCCAATTAAAAAAAAAAACGATAATAGAGAATGCAGTAAGCAAGATACTATAAAAGAGGATCAGTACGGATTCCGTACTAAGGGAAGCATACAGGACCCCATTTTTGCAATGAGGCCAATCCAAGAAAAAGAGAAAGAACTATCTGTTAGCTCCGTGGATCCAACCAAAGCATTTTACAATGTCCAGAAAGGAGACATCTTTAAGGCCTAAAGAGAATAAGATGTCGGTATACGACACATATTAGCAGAGGAAAGTCTCTATAAGAATAACAGGAGTGTAGTAAGATTCAGCAATAACGCCTCAAAAGAATTCGTCACTGCTGGTGGGATCCGGCAAGGATGTAATCTCAGCCCACTACTACTCATCATGGATACATAGACAGCGAAATAACCGAACGGATTGGTGCAGCGAGCAGGATGTTCAACGCTGTGAAAGATGGCTTTTTGAATCGTCGTGAGGTGGCGAAGAAGACTAAGGTGGCTGTTTATAAATCTACCGTTCTCCTAACTTTAACATACTCCTTGGAGTCATGGACCCTAACTTCCAGACATAAATCAATGCTTCAGGACACCGAAATGAGGTTTATGCGAAAAATCGAAGGAAAGAGGACAAGGGACTGGGTCTGCAAAACAACACTAAGGACAAAACTCGATCTAAAGCAAGAAAAGCGAAAATAAAAAGTAGAACAGAATAGGTAGAATGATCTAGATTAAAATGGGAGGACGGGGTGAAGGAAGCATTTACAAAAAGAGGTTTAGATTGGTCCAAGTGGAATGAGCTGGTACAGGACACGGGCAATTGCGTCAAGCTCTGCTCACATTGCCTAGACTGGAAGAGGATCGATTATGATAATGATACAAATACAATCAGGCATATCTTTTGTCTTATCATTTCATGGTAACACTAGACTAGTCTGAAGTACTATATGAATGTCAGGTTCTGCTTTGATGCTCTAATCAAAACATAAAGATTTTCAATCATCTACCTAGGGTAACTACCTTGTTCATGTTTATTCAGAGGAACAGGTGGCTTCCAGATAGAGGTGTGCTCACCTACCATATATGAAATTTACTGGGGAAACAAAATAACTAGGATCACAACTAGTAAAATCCAGGTACATGATTCTGAGAATGGCAACAACCTGGTTAATCTCTGATAACAATGAAAAAAAAAAAAACTTTTGCACTATACACTAGCAGACTCCCTTATAGTTCAGGAGCCAGCATACAAAAATTTGAGTTATTAGTCAAGATGGATACCAATGAACCTAGAGCGCCATAATGTAGATATTCCAACTTTCTCCACTTTTAGTTATAAATTAACAATATATGTTTTTCAAATATGGAAACTATTAGGGTAAACACACCAGTTTGGCCTTTAAATGTATATAGTAAGCTTCCTGGTTGGTTTACCGCTTCCAGTCCTTTTCCAAGATGAAGGGCAATGCTTTCTGTGGACAACTATAAGAAGAAAACCTCTAAAAGTAGGTTTAAGAAAAAATATCAGTGTTTTTTCTAGTGATCTCGAGATTCGTTCTACTAACCATATTGACAAGGATTTGTTCTACATTTATGTTTATAGCTCTTTTAATTTTACAGTTATTGCCATTTTAGAACCTCAGAAATTCGATTTTTGCATTGAATTTCCTTAAAATTGCCATTTTTAACGACTTTGGGAAAGTTTCCATCATTAGGTGAAAAATTGGACCCAAACTTGCTGTGGACCCAAGACCATTACTGGCTCCCCACACTTTTTATGTAAATTTTTCATATTTCTGTGTACACTGAGTCTAAAAATGAAGGGAAATCAGATGGTACCCTTGTTTTTTCTCTAAAAGGTCTCTAACCAGTCATGAACAGGGGTGTCCATCACTGGGCCCCTCCATGCCCATTACTGGCTCCCTACATTATTTATGTAAAATTATCATATTTCTGTGTTTAATAATAATAAGGCTTAGTGAAATCGAAGGTTTGATGCGGATACCACCAATCGCTGTCCACATTCTTCCATGTACCAGGCTCCGTTTAAATCCAACCCCACCAGATCAGCCTAGATGCAATCTTCCCACCTTCACTTTGGTTTACCCACCAGTAAAGGTATTGCCTGGCTTTGGACTCTTGCCAGTTGGTTCAGCACACATTAATTTTCTAGGAATTTCTGTGTTTACTGAGTCTAAAAATAATGAAAAATCAGATGGTACTCTTGTCTTTTGCTCTAAAATGTCTCTAAATAATCTTTAAAGAGGGGTTGTCCATCAATGAGCCCTTCATGTGCATTACTGGCTCCCCAAACTTTTAATGTAAAATTATCATATTTCGGTGTTTACTGAATCTAAAAATGATGGGAAATCAGATGACAACCTTGTTTTTTCTCTAAAATGTCTTTATCCTAATAAACTTTAACAATATTACTTTGATTACAAATACAAACTTATATAAACCATGATAATTCAGTCCTACATAGTTTTGGTTTGTCAATCTGAAATTAAATTTTAAAGTTTCTCATGTAAACATTTATTTCTCATTCATTAATATAAAGTAGACTTTATTAACTACAACAAATAAAAGTCATTAGTTTTTCCTCACTCTCCAGTGCATTCCAAAACTTACTATACATGTTAGATATTCATTTTTCAAAATCTTGAGATTTCCAACAATATATTATATATTTATATTACTAATTTTATTTCCAAATTTCAATCTACGAAAATATTTCTCCTGATGTTAAATTTCAAATTCTTCCCTAGTTTATTACTTTTAATAATCAAAATTAAATTACTTACATTTTTTTTTACTGTTTCAATGAAGACAAGGCCAACAACTGGTAATAAAGACCATTTAACTTTACACCGATAAGAGTTTAGTCAAAATAGTTATAGCCGGTTTTAAGAAATTTATGTAAAATCAAAGATACAAAGTATATCACAGATGTATACTTACACTAAATTCTCAATATTAGAGTCGTATACCTTTTCCTTTTTGAGTTCACACACATCCTCACATGTACACATCACACAGACGCACACACACAAAATTTTGTGAAACTTGTTAATTATGACTCAGTAGACCTTAAAACATGTTTTTCTGCTAAAAGATTTGATTCAAAATTATGCACTTTCACAATATTTCTTTTAATTGTATATTTCATATATATGTGGGTGAAATTGTAAATTAATTAATTAAAACTGTTGTTTTTCATAGTTTAATAGAGATCTTTGAGGTTTTCTGAGGTATGTCGATCACTGGAACAACAGGACTTTGGAATTTCCATAACTAGTGCAAAAAGTGGTTATTTTAAACTGGAGATTACTGTTGCAAAACTGAAATTGTTTTCAATTTTAAGGTATGGAATATGGAAAGGAGATTCTAAATTTTATAAATTTCCTACAGAGAAGTTCATAACTAAAATAAATAAGGCAGGAGAAAGCAAAAAGAACAAAAATTTCCTTAGCTAAGTCCATCAGTGGTGCGCTTACCCTACATAGGAACATATAAGGAAAATGGTTCACTATTCCACAGCAGATTTACGTTACAAGATTTATAAACATAAGAAACTAAAATATGTTGTTATATAACTTAGTTATCTTCCATTCTTCCATACGGATTATTATTGAATTATTGATGTAGTTAAATTTTAATTAAAAACATGTGATATTGTACATTGATGAAAAATATATAGATTGATATATTTGGAACTTACTCAATGTTTCCTTTTGTATATACACAATCATTACATGTGGCAACGATGGTGAACAGGCAGAAAAAAAAGAAACCACAAAACAGACAAGGAATTGGACACGAAAGTTAATTTTTCTGAGTCCATTAACTCATCCAGGAAAACAAGTTAACTGGAAGTAAATATGATATAGAAAAACGATTAAGTATATTTGAATTTCTTCCTTATAATAATTCCGAAAATGGGAATATTATATAGACTGTTTTGAACTGGAATTAGAAATTAAAAATATAAATGGTAAATCACAGAGATAGACGAAATCATTGAGAGGTCACTACACAATTTATTGTAAATGTGTGTGGAAGGAGAGTTATATAAACTGGTGGTGGATCATTTCCATCCTACAAAAGTTACTCGATTGCGGTATTCTGAAATAAAAACATTTTTAGACACTTATCTAAAACCGACTACAAGTTATCTGTCAGAAAGAGGAAAATTTGGACAAATATTCAGTGACAGAAATCAGTCAGTAGCATAATTTTTAATGGAATACAGACCGGCAACAAAAGACTGAAAATTTGGAAATAATCTGGAAGAAAGATTATGTAATCGATCTTTATTATGATTGAAAAACATGTCCACACAGGAGGAGCTTTTTGCCGTCATCCAGAGGAAAATGCAAGCCTAAAAGAAATTGAAAAATCCACTCTTATAATTGAGTTAGCCCAAAAACAAAGAAAAGTCATAGAGGATATGGCAGAGGAAACTCATATCTGTAGGGTAACTAAAACGGAGCAGGAAAATAAAATAATCAGAATTGTAGATCCACCTACAGAATGTATTCATTGTGGGTACCAGAAACATAAACAGGGAAGTAAATGTACAGCTAGCTAACACATGTGTAGGCTTTGCAATTCTTATGGTAATTAGGAAAGGAATTGTTTAAAATCTGGCAAAATTAAGCTAAATAAAAGCAAGGCAAAAATTAAATAAGTAAATACAGTAAGTTTAGATAAATATACAGATAGTGAAGAAGTCAACACCGTACTAGACGTCAACATGATTACTTCAGATAATTCTTGGTTTGAGATAAGGTTAAATTAAATGACAAAAATGTCTGAATGGAATTTGACACAGCTGCTGCAAGTAGCATTCTAGGAGAAAACTTATGGAATTATATAGGAAATGTAAAGTTTATAAAACTTGGGAGGCTCAGTTGGGCTGGTCATGTCGCAAGGATGAAATTCCTAGAGAAGTAGTAGAGAACGCTCTTCACGGTACATGACGGCTTGGTAGGCCAACGATTCGATGGGTTGATGGAGTGGCAGCGGACGCACGGAGGCTGCTATGGATCAGAAAAAGCGGCAGAACAAAATCGGGGCTAATGGCAGCAGATCATTGAGGAAGCCAAGACCCACCCAGGGTTGTAGCGCCACGTAGATAGATAGAAGGAAATCCACCACTACAAAAGACCAGTAATTTAAAGGCTTATCCAAATTCCTTATTGAATTTGTTGGGGAAATGCTCGGTGTCCGTTAAAGTAGGAAGGCAAAAGTTTCAAACTGAAATTTGTCGTGATTAAAAACGAAGGCACTCCTTTATTTGGCTGAGATTGGAGGTACTTGTCCATTAGCCGGGTGGGACAAAACCTCCCTTGTTATCCATGTTATCTAAAGGTATGTCACATAACCTCCCTCTTCTTATCTCGTCAAACCTTTCAGTTATTACATTGTTTATTTTTCAGTTATCACATTCAGATATTCACTTATTAAATTCTTTATTTTTGGCCAGTTTTTATTATTTTCTTCAAATTATGGATCTTGTTATATTCTGGGAATTACCAAATTCAGAAGAACAGGCTATTGAATATTTTCAAAACATTGATCTCCAACAGGCTAAAAATAAGGTGTTTGAACAACACTCGAAACTATTCCAAAGCGGCATTGGAACAGTGAAGGGATTTAAAGCCAAAATTCAGCTATGTGATGGAGTAACACCAAAACTCTTTAAAGTTCAAAGTGTTCTGTTGGCTTTAAAAAAAGCAGCCGATCAGAAAAGAGACCGGCTTATTTACGAAGGAGTAATAGAAAAAGTGGACACATAAAAGACAATGGTAGATTGGGCATTGCCAGTAGTTTTTGTGCCAAAAGGGGCAGTGAGGTTATATGGTGATTTTAGAGTTACCATTAATCCCCATATGATTGTAAATCCCCACCCTTCCCAACATTTGAGGAAATAGTTCTGAAACTTAGTGGGTTCCAAGAGTTTTCTGTTATTGAACTGAAAGACGCTTATTTACAGATGGAAGTAAGAGAAGAGTAAAACAATTCTGGTACATTGCACGCATCACACAACTTTCACATACCTCACTTTGCTTAGCAGAAATAAGTTTTTTCAGACAAAGGGGGAGTGAAAGTAAAAATCTGGTGTGGTGCACGCATCACACAACTTTCACTTACCACCCTCTAAGCATAAATGAGTATTTTCAGAAATGCTAAAGTAAAAATTATAGACTCTATATTTATTTATATTTCATTGTGAGTATTTTTATTTGCATAAGTACCCTCATATATACAAATTTTAATATTTATATCGCTGTAATCTATATAATTAAATATTAGATAATACCAACAATAGCATTTATGATAACCACACATGTATATTTATATAATATTGTTAGAGACCATATTATATATTAATCTCATGATACGTATGAAAGCGTTTTCTTTCATAATCGATCAAATGGGATGGTGGAGTATATAGTTTATAGTAAAACTATAATGGTATGTTATAATAACATGGCTCATAACTATGTTAATAACAATATTTTTTAAAATTTTAATTGGTGGAATTCTATGTGAATAAAGAAAAGGATCATAGAATCACTAAACATCCCATTATCAATAATATACCAGGAATCAACAATACATAGAATCAGGATAGCATACTTACTCCTGAAATGAGATGAGAACCATTAGTATGACCCACATTAAATCGAACTTTTCAAGGTATGAATGGATTTAAATATACAAAATAGAGATGGTGGGATATATGAGGAATTTCTAATTGTGACAAAAGCTAATGAGAAATGGCCTTACAATTAGAGAAAGTGAATCACATTAATATATAAAAAGTCAAAGAACCTAAGACTGAGAGTGGTATAAGTACACTGAAAGTAAGTGTGATATAAATATGGATATACCATCAATATAATCATGTACGCAAACTATACTCAGTTAAAACAAACAGGCAAAAAAAAAAAAAAATGAGGCATAAAAAAGACCCAAAATGATCCTTCCTGTTAATCAGAAAGGTTTTCCAACACTAAAGTTTTCAAAGGAGAGATACAAGAAACATTTTGGTATACTAAAAATGCTTCTTAACTAATTGTTTAGAATAATTTTAACAACTTGGTATTTATTCATAAGCAGTTCATCAATGTTGATTGTAGCTCCATACTTGCATGATTTGTTGACATTTTAGTGTTTAATACAATAGAAAAGTAGGCACTTATAATAGATCCCATGATCAGGTTTGAAACGAACGATCAGGACCAAGGCTTCAAGGTGCAGGAAGAGAATGAAAAGATTTATAAGAAATGAATACCGCACTTATAAGAAAAATACAGTGATGGATTCAAATAGAGAAACTTCTCAGTTAAAGGGCTATGGTTCAGAAGTAGGGAAACCATCCCTCATTCTAGAAGTGATTTCTTGCAGAAGCTCGGAGTTGGTAGGGAGCAGATGGAGATAATGGTGGAGACTATTATTTTGGACTCGGTGATCCTCCATCACCACATATACTAAGCTTTGCCTTTCCTTGTTTGTTTCTGTACACTGGTCTTTTGACATATTTGCTACGGTCAAATGGTCCCTACAAGCTCTTTTGTTTTGTATAAAATAATGTCTCTTGGACTGATGAGTATGCTGTGTGACATAGTAAATCAAAATAGTTCAGAAGCCATGCAATGTTATTGTAGTTCTTTTCAAATAAAATAAAGTATAGCAATATATTATGACATGTATCTACTATAAACATACCAACAGCAAAAGCACATATAAAAACCAGAAAAAAATTGTATGACTTAGTAAGTCAAATAGATAATAACAGTAATTTTTTTAATTAGTTATGGATACTTGCTCAACTAAATTGAACGTATTAAACCGTCATTGTCGTCAAAAACTTACCATTCTTTTACTTCTTGATAAAGCTTTAAGAACAGGGCTGCTTTTAAACAAAATGGAAAAAGTGAAAGGCCTATAATATATCATTACATAATTCAAATTAAATATTCATAAGTTTATACCAAAGAAGTCAATGTGGATTGAATATAAAAGATTAAGCAAAGAGGTATAAAATCAAATGCTTAAACTCATAAGTACAAACGATTTCCAATGGGACTTAAGAAAACAGCCCCAAAAATCTTACTTTCTTATAGCCCTGGAGCCAAAAATCGACCTGATAGCAGGCGAAGATTTGGATGTAGATAACGAAAGTTTATCCTAAGTGAAATGAATCTTGTCTGCCATTCCAGAGCCGCTGCTTTAAAAAATGGCGTCTGATTTAAAGAATATCAGACCAGTAATTTGAGGATCGTAACGGGAAATATATTGAAAAAAAATGTGGGAATTTTCTAACTTGCATATAAACGTTCAAACCAAATTGCTAGCGGGTGCAACTAGAGAAAAACTTGTTACAGCCAAAAATGCCGTATTTTTTCGGCCTCTTTTGTTTTTTCATCTATAACTTCTAAACAGTCCATCAAAGCGAAAAATGTACTCTTTAAGAAATTAAAGAACGTTAAATTGTGCTTCGAAGCAGTGCCTGCCATAGAGTGGAGCAACCGCGGGGCGCTGACCTAGAGGGGCGCACTTGTTAGTCAACTCTTTAAAAAATCTTCTGAGATTGTTTGAAGCTTCAGCTTTTATTTGCTGCATCCTTCCTCCTGTCATAGTTCTTGATTGTTTTCAAAAGTCTATCAAACCTCTCATCGCCTTACTGAAATTCCGTTTATCTTTCCTCGATGAACACGCAGCCTCTTTTATGGATCAAAGCTTTCCTTCTATGAAATGGTAAAGGAGTATATAACTAACGCGTCAAACTTGAGATATTTCTCACTACCTCTCTAAAGTAATTTTATTCCTCACATACATAAATAATTCTGAACCTCGGACCAGATATTTCTCTGCAATTTCGAAAATATCTATTGTTAGGTGAACTCAAAAAGCTCTTTTACCAATCATTAGCAATATTCGGGGAAAACGCATTTTAACAGGCCTGTACCTCATCCTGGATTCTAATAACACAATTCTAGACATCAGTTTGGATTCTGTACATTCCATTGTACGATTCAGATATTTTGTCGTGAAGTGGACATTTAGTGAACGGGTATTTATTTAGTGAACGGATGTATTACACTATCTTGAACAGAGTTTCCATCGAACCAAAGACAGCTTTACAATCTTGTAAAATGGATACAATAATATATGGATTTCCATAGATTCCTATCACCCACCTACTTTCTCATTATCCGTTCCTGTCTCACTGGCTTGAATATTAAATGTAAATCACAATAATATTTGTTCATCATCTTTTCTCAGTACCTCTGCCATCCACTACAAAGTTTATACAGCTGACATTCCAACCTCTCTTAACACTGTCACCACCAGGTACGTTGATGGCATATGTTTATTGCCTGTTAATAATGACTCATTAATTACACCCCAATCTCTTCAATAACATATAAAAATGTCATCAAAACTGGAGAACTAAAATAAATTCGAAAAAAATTCCATTAAATAACATTTACCATTTGTTGTTAACCTTCTATCCTACAGTGTCTTTTAGTAATACTTCATTTTTCTCTGCACAAACCCCTACATTGGTCACCATCTGGGTAAACGTCTTATTTGGAATCCTCATATAAGACTGAAACGAAAAGATGTCACTTGGAGTATCCGACTGCTTCAACTCTTACTAGACAAACATTCCAGGCTTCCAATTAAATACAAAAAACTCACTTACATTACTATAATCATGCCTTTTTGGACTTATGGAGTTGAGCTTTGGGCCTTCACCTAACTATCGAATTCCTCTTGTATCCCTTCATAACAATCCAAAATACTTTGTAAACCCTTAATGAATCCTGAATGTAACCCCACTTAGATAGTTATCCTCTCATCATGAAATTCTAAACTCATCCGAACTCACTTGTTTGTAACTTTTCTTCACTTCTTTCTTCCTTCAATCTCCTTCCTCTTTTGCTTCTGAAAAAAAGATGGGCTAGAGATCTTCTAATTTCGAACTGTTATGGAAGTGCTACTGTTCACTGTTCTACTGTTCACATTTAATTGTATTTATATTTGTATACAGTTGTAAAATGAAATACACATTACAAAAAAAATCAATTCATGGTTTTCATTTTTTTTTAAACTCATTAATTTTTGTCCACTTCAATTATATTCATTCAGGAGATGATTTTCTTCTTTGTTTTTTTATGAATTTTAACTGTTTTAATGTATATACTGATTGAATTTCATTAATGTTGTCTATTTATTTGTATATGTGTTTTATTCTTATAGGGCATAGTCCCAAAATAAAGTTTTTTTTTTATATACAACTCTATTCAAATGGAGAAGGAATGAACGAACTTAAGGAAAAAAATTATAAAGCTTGTTGGCTAATAGTCAGCCATATGACTGCCTATTATGAACTGTTGCTTATATTAAAACTTTTCTATTGTACTATGAGTTTTATATTATACGAACTATGTCACAATTTGGATTTAATTTATTTTTTTAGGTGATAATAGAACAAGGTGATTTTGAAGAAAAGGAAAACAGTCAAACAAGGAATTAGCTTATATATTTAGCTAAAATACATTCACACTAAATATAATGTTACAACGTTAAGATTAGTAACTTGGATTGTGCTCAATTCTTCATATTTACTGAAGGCAAAAAACAAAACATAAAAGCAATAAGAAATAAAATAAATATACCAATGTTTTACCTGATTATTTGTAGGTATTTCCATTAGTATATCAATAGCTAATCTTACACAAAATATAATATATCTGTCGTTAATACATTTTATAGTTATAGTTTTTTATCATTTTTCAATTTAGGTACTAAACATTGTTAAAAATAAATTATAAAATTCTGAATTAATTTAAAAATAAATGAAATAGTTCAAATTAAAAAATATAATTATAAAATTTGAACTCTTTTATTTATTTTTAAATTATTTCTGTTTTCATTTTCATTGAGGATTTCGTTCCCAGCCGATAACTAATGCATTCTTTCATAACTCCTCAGGATTTTCTCCCAATCCAAAGTTACTACATCTTTTGGAGTGCTGAATTATGAGTATATATTTATGCTAATAAATTGAATAGATAAAGCGTTGCACTCATCTGAGTGCTTGTTACTTGTCGCTTATCCTTGTTCAATAGTCTTTTCAAGGATCATCCAGATGGTGAAGATTTCGTATGGTTATAGATTACCGTTTTCAACTTTATATCGTTATAAGATTCAATTTTACTCATGCATACTTTTAATTTTATAAATAACATCCGTTGCCTAATATTCCATAATATTCCAGTTTCTCTCAGTGTGCATGGTGGAGAAATCGGAACAAGCGACAAGGAACAAGCACTCAGATGAGTGCAACTCTTTTTCTATTCGGGCTAGGAGGTAAACTCCTCGACTGACATTTCATCAGATTTCAGTCTAGTATTGTTGATTAGCAGTAGCAAATAATGATTATTGAGGTCCCATTACCAATTAGACCAAAGCGAGAAATGCAAAATGCTAATAATCGCATCCCAACACTTATAGATCAGAGGATTGGATATGGGCCAAGATTAATGCAAAACGATTGCATACTTTTGAGAGAAGAAAATCTGGAGAATTTTCAGCTTGATGAAGTGATAGTTTGCAAAGAAAAAGAAATTGGAAAACCTATCATGTCTTCAAGGATAAGGATATTTATTAAACGGTTCACCAATAAATTTAGCTGATTCGAAAGCTCCTACACATAATATAGAAGAAATTGGAGAATTTTGGTGGAGGCCATGATTCAATGATGGATGTATGCATAGGAATATAAACAAAAAAATTTGTTTAAAAGCAAATGGTTTATTAATCGAAGTAAAAAGAAATGTAATAAACGCTAATGGTTCCCATTACTGTCTTAACAAAAAATACAAAATCTTATCCATTTGTATATATATATATATATAAAGGTTATAAGAAAAAAATTGAAAAACAAATTTAAATTAATGAGAAGAAAATAAAAATTTTGTATTCAAATGACAATTAAGTTACAATTAAAAAAAAAACTACTTAAAAATATGATAATTGATGATGAAATATCTAACATAATAATTTAAATGAATTGCATTTACTGCTGAGAAAGTTATACATGAAAAATATCACTAGATTAAGAAAATAAAATTTAAAAACATATAATAGTTGCCCGGATTATACAAACATATAGAGCAGAAAAAAGTGAATACCTGTAAACAAATATTTTAAAAAGTGGAATTTCTAAGTTTTGTAGGTATCCATATGAAATTTTTTTCTTGTATGCACTATAGGATAAGGGATAATAACACATTTTGTCAATTGCAATTGAAGTATTGTATCAAACCTGGGTTGTTTTTCAAATGCAATATATAAATCACATTTTTTGTGTTTAACATTCTGAGAAGTAAAATATAAAATACAGAAAAGTATTTTTAGTTTACTTCTTAAAATGCTAAGTAAAACAAATATATCTTATTTCAAATGCATAATAAAGTAAGGAATTGAAGAGATCATAAAAATTATATTAAGGCTGGTCGTTTGCACAGGAATTTTCCCCTGTTAAAATTGGTCTTAGAATTTTTTTAATGTTGATTGAGTTAAATTTAAAATACAATTATCTTTGAGCATAAAATGGTGTAACCATATAAATAATTATTAAGGACTCTAGGGTCTTATCATACGAAATCGTAAAAGTGTATATTTTGTTAAATCAGCAAGTAAATGTGGACAAACAGATGTTTAATTGGGAAAACTACACACATTTTTCAGCAAAGAAAAAGGAAGGATTCAATTTATGTAATACCTTGGGGAATATTTAAATTTAAATAATATTACCATGCCTCACTTTTATTATTAATTGTTCTGAAATAATATCATTTGGATAAAATGACCTATTGCCAACTAATCATTTTATAAGTATACCAACTCTCCTCTAATCTCAGAACTCCTTTCGTCGCTAGAACAAAAATGCTTTTGAAGATATTGGTTGTAAAGTCCCACTTTATGGGATGTATGTATTTTGTATTGGT